CATATTCAGCAGCCATCATAAGATAGCTAAAATTTTTGAGATTACGTTTTAGTTGGTTAGTTACAGGGTCAAAGCCAAGATATCTTGACCAAACAAAAAGATTCCCTCTTTTGTCCTCGCTTCAGTACAGGCAGTGGCAAACCGAGGGGATCCCCGAGGATGGGTCGCTAAATTTCTAAAATTTACTTACATAGGTTATAAAAATGCGCAAATGACTTGTTTACTCTTACAAATAATTAAAATAATTTTTTAAAACCTTTGAAAATTCAAATTAGCATCTGGGGTCTCACCTCCCACTCTTCTACTTCCACCCCTCTTCCGTCATTTTCTCCCATTCTCCTTATTCTCATCCATTAACGTCAGAAATGCAAAACTTGTGGATTATCATGTAATCTCAGCTTATTTTTTGCAACACATGATAGAAACTTAAGCTTTCCCTCCACCCTTCCCAATTCCCAATCTTCTTCCCGTATCTGTTAGAGCTTTTGCGTATTTCGTATGCTGATATGACGTAGGAAGACATGTGTCGAGACAATTTCAAATTTTTTTTGTTTATGCTAATGTTCTGCTGCTTTTCTGTTATGTAGTCTTTTCAATCAGTCACTGATTATATTCAAATCAGACACTGTTTATTCTTGAGGTGTATTTTGCTAGTCTCGTAACTACTTGCGCTCTTATTACTTGAGCGTGACAAAATTTCACTGTTGACTGTTCATTCTCAAAGAGTAAAAGTAAGGACTTAATTTATCTATTATATAATTTGACTAAATTTCACTTATGATTTTAGTCTTTCTGAACTGACATAAAAGTTGCCCTCCGAATCTGTTGCTGTGTTCCTTTTTCCATTAATCCTTTCTTTTTCAACAGAAAGGCATAGTATACCATGAATTTCCTGACATTGCAAAATTTGTAAAAGTTACAGTATTCCTACGATCATATAATTTTACACTAAATATGCCCAATAATAGCCTTCATAAAAATGGTTTGTGTTTTATCAAAATAGTTTCTCTATCCTTTGTTGCAATTTATAATTTGTTGAATGAAAAAATGACTAGAAAAAACTTATCTAGATTTAGTAGAAGGGATTTTCTTTTCAAATATTCATAGTATACCATGAATATTTGAAAAGAATATCAGAAAACTTGAAAAAACTTATCTAGATTCAGTAGAAGGGATTTTCTTTTCAAATATTATGTTAAGATCTTCCTTTTATTAAGAAATCGCTGTTTTTTACGAGCAAAGCTAGCTTCATGAAGCAAATCAGAAAACTCCAATACGACCATCAAGCTGTTTGGCTTTGAAGTTGGCTGATTGTTGGATTGAGTTACTAAGTTCATTCGAACATACTGGCAAGCTTCAAAAAACATCCCATATAATTGATGGAACTTTATATCGCCTTTTTGAGCTTTGTTCAGCAAAGTATCATATCACGTTTTTTGCATTGAAATATCATCACTTCCTACACGACTTCTCAGTCTCAGTGAAAGTGCTATTACCATATTACAAACTTTCATTATTAGAATCAGTCTTTTGTTATCTTGTATCTCTTCTGTTAAGGCTGCAAGAAAAAATCCCTACAATCGTGAAGATGCTCTTAATCAGCTGTGTTCAGCTTGTTAAGCTAATTACTTTTTAAACTATATTGGGTTTTGATGAAGAACTGAATCTGATGTTTAAAATGGACAAAAATGGAAGGGACAAGTGATGTAAGATTGGTATCCGCTTCCCTCAAGCCCCTCTGTATATGCTTTCTCTTTCTTTGCAAGACTATTTTATACGATTAACGAAAAAGTTTTTCGCTCTATATTCTCTAAATTTTGTCAGCTCGTGCTCTGCGTTCTCTACGTGACTGACAAATACTGAAAATTTTCCTATTTCTTTCTTCCACCTCATTTATTTGACTCAATGTGCTCGAATTTGCATTTCTAATGCAATGCGGAAGGCTAAACCAAATTTTGACGGACATAAAATCTTGCTGTGGACATGCGCACAGCCATAAATTACATTAGAAAGCAATGAAATAGGATATCGCCTCGAAAACACGCACAGCCATCAAAACACACCCACATTTCGCTTGCAGAAAATATTTTGTGCATTTGAATAATCCTTATCAAATTTCCTCTTCGACTACCATTGATTCAAACAAATATTAGGTCGTTACGAGAATTCTTTCCATTTTTTCGACTATTTCAAAAAACACGTGAGATATACATGAGTAAACATTTCAAGCATTTTCGGTGCAGTTCCTCTTCCTCTTTTCACCTATCAGGTTTTGGGACTATTTCCCTTTGTAGGTATCAAAATAATCATCCAAATTCCAAACATATGGTTTTTTACCATGAAGCTTGGTAAATTTTCAGAATTTTCACGTCGATTTTCCGGAAGAGTCCTGATGATGGGTGGTTAGACTAAACAAGCAGCAATAGATTTTTGGCATCTCTAGATGACTTCCTAATAATTTACAGGTGCCAAACCTCATTGAACATCGACTGGCAAGCTAGAAATGCAAATTCGAGCACATTGAGTCAGTACTCTGCGTTGATACCACTGCTT